GATAAATAATATTTGGACTGTTTAAAATTGGTTTGATTGGTTTTTCTTTATCTTCAATAGATGAAAGCACATTTTCTTGTTCTGGTGATGAATATAACTGAGATCCAAGATCATTTGTAAATAGATCTGGTGAATCTATTGATCGAATGGTTTCAAAGACTGAAATATGTGGAATAAGATTGTGATCAAGCAGGATGTTCGATGGTTTTAGATCTCGATGAATTAGTCCATTTTTATGAAGATAATCGATTCCATTTGAAATTTTAATGATTGTATAAATTAAATATAATTCATCAACTTGATTGTTCTTTATATATAAATTTAACGAATCATTACTCATGAATTCATAAATAAAACCTGTAATTTGCTGATTTTTCAATACAAATCCATAAAATCGAACAAAACATTCATGAGAATATTTTTTACAAAAATTTTCTTCGTGATTCTTCTTAGACTGATAGTATTCCTTCATTACAAAAATATAAAATGTGGGGATGTGAACTACTAACTTATATGATGTATAACTGTTGGCATATAACTTTCTCAATGTTATAAATTCATCTTCTTGGAATTCATATTTGCCATTTGTTATAATTTTATCTGTAATTTCATCAAAATTAAAAAATGATGAATCTTCGAAATAATATGATGGAAATTTATATCTGTAAATCAAGTAACCCATAATTGAATCAATCGTAGATTTAACAAAAATGTTACTATTGATTGTGCTTGGGTATTTATTGCAAAAGCTTTGAATGGATTCTTTTAATTCATTCACAAAACGATCATTGGGTAAATTAGCTTTTATTCTAACATTAATAAGTGATATTTTCTGACTTTTCAAATTGTTTAGGAAATCATTGATCAATTCTGAATAAATTTGGTCGATGATAAAGCACTTTCCTTCAACACAAAAAATGCATTTTGCTTTAGTAATATCACCTTCTTTAGTTAACTCGGAGAAATGGTATGTCAGAAATTTGAATTGGCTGAAATATTGGAAAAGATTTGACATAAAATCATGATCGTCTTTTTCAGCATTAAATTTATGATATGTAAAAGAAAATTTGGAGTATAAATCACGAATAACATCATTATCGATTTGATTTATCATTGCTTTCCATTGATATAATGGGCTAATAATATATAAAAATATTCCTGATGGTAATTCAATTTTGTTTTCAATTTTCCATTAGATTTAGCTTCAACAGAGGTTTAAAGACAATTGTTGGTAATGGACGTCTCCTTCAAAGTTTTTCGCACAATATCATAGATAATGGTGCTGTAGTTTTTGAAGATGATACGATTATTGATATTGGCAAAACCTATGATATGAAGGCAAAATATCCAAATTCACAATATCATAACGCAGAAAATAAGATAATTATGCCTGGTCTCATTAATTGTCATGGTCATTACTATAGCTTGTTTAGTCGAGGTCTTGCATTAAAAGATCCACCTGGTAAAACATTCCTTGAAGTTCTTGAAAGACTCTGGTGGCGTCTTGATCGTTCATTACAGCATGAAGACAGTTACTTGTCAGCAGCAGCTTTCAATATTGAAGCTTTGAAATCAGGATGTACAACAGTTTTTGATCATCACTCATCTCCGAACTGTATTGAAGGAGCAAATGATGATATTGCAAGGGCAGCTCTGGAATGTCACATTCGTAACAATATTGCCTACGAAGTTACAGATAGAAATGGATTAGAAGGTGCAAAATTAGGAATTGAAGAAAACAGACGCTTTATTGAAAGATGCTACAAAACAAATCCAAATCCTCTGCTTACAGCTTCATTTGGTTTACATACTTCTCTCACTTGTAGCGATGATACGTTATCCAAAGCAGTTGAAGCCTTGGAATCTGTCAAAGAAGCCAGAAACAGAGTTGGCTTTCACATTCACGTTGGTGAATGCCTTGATGATGAAGAAATATGCATTAAAAGGCATGGAAAGCGAATTGTCGATCGTTTATTAAGTTTTGGAATTGCAAGAGAAAGGTCAATTTTTGCCCACTGTGTTCACCTTGACGATCATGAGCTTGATCTTGTCAAGAAATCAGGAACAACGATCGTTACAAATCCATCAGCAAATACTGGAAATGCAGTTGGTATTGCCAGAGCTGTTGATATAATGAAACGCGGAATTCCACTGACTCTCGGCAGTGATGCCATTACATATGATATGTTCCAAGAACTCAAGTTTTTGTACTTCATTCAAAAGTTAAATTACAGAGATCCACGCGTCATGGGTACCGATTCATTGCGCATCTTGATGGAAGGAAACTCGAATCTTGCCTCGAAAATTTTCAAGAAAAAAGTTGGCGTCCTTCAGCCTGGCGCTTTCGCCGATATCATCCTCGTTGACTACGATAGCCCGACACCCGTTTCGATTGAGAACTTTACATGGCACGCTGTTTTTGGATTATCATGTGCAAATGTGAATTCTACAATCGTCGGAGGAAAGTTCGTAGTGAAGAATAAGGAACTACTGACAGTCGATGAAAAGGAAATCCTGGCTCGTTGCAGAGAAAGGGAACCTGGTGTTGCCGAAAGATTTTAAATAAGCTTTCGCAATTTTATAAAAATTTGAGTTTTCTGTTGATTATTGTAGTGGTATTTCATGTATGTTAATGTATTGAAATTCTTCATTTATATCTCGTTGTATAAAAAAAAAAACATTATTTGCAATTATTTAATGATGAAGCAAAATAAAGCTTATATTATTAATTTAATATAAATTTACAATAGAGAAATTGGCCTAATGGTATGATTCTCTCCTCGGGTTCGAATCTCTCATTATTTGAATATTTTATCTTTTTCTTTGTCTCCATCCTATTCCAATTAAAATATAGTTCATTAAACTTTTTCATATTTTCATTCTGAGCATTCTCAATAAATTTTCCTTATTTGATTTTGAAAAAAATTATTGCATTGAATATTTTGTAATTTCTCTTTTTAATAAACAAAATATTTTAGAACCATATATATAATCATGTAAAAGGTTTTTGTCTAGCTTTATTTAGAACAAAAAGAGATTCATATGAAATAATTTGAGATTAAAAATGGTCGACCAAATAGGCATTCAATTTGATATTTTAAGAATATGTTTTGTTTTATAATATTTTATCTTAATAGACTTGTTTCAGGGAATGACGCTAGTGAAATAGAGAAAAAACATCTTATCATTGACTTTGGAGGAAAATATCTTAAAGGCGCTTTAGATAATTATTCACCAGATTCATTTTTATATCTTACCAAAAAAGAAAATAATGTTTGTGATTCGCCATATTGTTATTTGATTCCAAATTCAATATCAGCTGCTGTTGACGACATGATGTCTACAAATACATCTGAAGAGGCCGTTCGAGTTGGCCAAGAAGCTTTTATTAAAGCCAGGAAAAATAAGCTTCTAGGGATAGAATTTTTCGGTGCAATTTACAATCGAAAGCGCAAATACATCAGCTCAAATTCTGATTTTTTCAACATTGACAATAATGTAACCATCAGTGATTTTCCACTTTTCTGGTATCTCATTCAATTCTTCACAAAATACCAAAACAAGACTTTAGCAGATGATTTGACAATCATTCTTCCCGGATACTCGACAGATGTCACTTTTGAAGAATTGAAAGTAGCGAATAATCAAACATTCAAAAAAATCAACTTTTTCAGAGATTTTGAAATAATTCAAAAGGTTCATTCAAACCTCTTTTCAAAAAGTGAGAATAAAAATGTTCTCTATCTTGATTTTGGAGCTTTTTCAGTTAAAGCAACCGTTGTTAACCGCCAAAATGAAGTTGTTTTTTATGATTTTGACGATCAAATTGGTATTGAAAAAGTTGCTTATAGACGGGCTCCCAAAGATCAAGAAGAAGAAGGAAAAGATAAAACTAATAAAAGAAAGAGAAATGAAAAAGATCTTTATGACAACCGCGTCTCAAAAGCGCGTGAAGAAGCTTACAAAGCGATGGAAAAAGTTTCTTTTTATGACGAACTTTTTGAAAGAAACTTGAATGAGTTAATTCAAAAAGCTAAGTCAAGAGAATCAGCAATTGATGAAATCATTCTTATTGGAGGAGGTTGTCAATTTCCATTTGTCAGAAAAACCGTTGAGAGCCTTTCAAAAGAGACAAAAACGGGGTTAATTGATACTCTCAATTTGAATCACTCCACTTTTTTCATTGACGGTTATAAATTGACCTTAAATGATAAAAATTTGCCATCATCGAATAAGTTTATATATCATCCACTTTTTGTGAAGTATAACGGTCAGACACACAAAATTCCTGAATTTTCAGAGCAATCTTATCAATTTAAAATAAACCTCGGAAAAATTCAAAGAATTGAAAAAGTGAATCAATCATCGGTTTGGAATAATCAATTCAAGATTGTTACCGACGAATCACATGTCATTAGCGGAATGCCAAAAGCGGTTTTAAATTTGGAATTTGAATTGAATGAAACCGACTCAATTGAAAACAAATTCATTCAAATATCAGGCTCTTTTTCTGATAGAAGAGAAAAATGTGAAAACTCATTCTGTCTGAATTTTGAAGCTGAGTTGTGTGATGTGAATGACGATAAAGAAATTGAGTGCAAAGAAAAAGTTTCTGTTGTGAAGTCAAATGTGACAGTTATAAAAAGCATCGAAGCACAGAAAAGAGCAAGAGAAACAGATGCAGCAATGGGAATGATTCGTGCTTTGTTTAGCCAGTTTTCACAAGCAAAGAATAAAAAGAAGAGTGAAGAACTCTGAATAAGCATTCAAAGTCATCTTTCTTTTTAATAAAAAATAAGAATCAAAGTAAAATTTTAAATTGTAATCACTCAAATTTTATATAAAATTTGGAATGAAAGATCATAAAATTGGTGTTTAAAATGATCTAATCAAAAATGGTGTCTATTTTAAAAATAAAAATAATAAAAACTTAAAAAAAAAAAATCCATTTTATATAATTAATTTGGTGTTTAAGAGAAAAAATAAAAATGATCAAAAAATGAGAGATTCGGGATTCGAACCCGAGGCCTCTCGTCCCCGAAACGAGAATCATACCACTAGACTAATCTCCCTATTGTGCAATATTTAGATTATGCAAATAATGTTCTTTACTTAACGAGGTATGGTAAAAAAAAAATCATAAATTTTACTAAAATAACGTCACAAATTTGAAGACATTTTGACGATTAGAAACGCACATATTAAATTCAACAATGCCGATCAACCCACACCACGAATAGTTTATATTTGAATTCGATAAACTTTATAAATAATTAAAATACTGGTATTCATCTTTCTACTACAAATGCAGTAGGTGCAATTTCATTAATGTTGATACTGATTATCAATCATTATTGTTGTTTTCTATTTTATTGAGTTGCTACTCATGCTTCTTTTTGCCAAAAATGCAAAAAAGTTCCAAATTTTTTTCTATTGCACGGTACAAGGTCAATATTGACCTTAACCGCCATGGGCAATTACGATTACGATTTCATAATTTATATAAAAATAAAAATAAATTAATACCTCTGCATTTTTGAATTGATCCAAAAAAATCTGGTTTAAAGAATACCAGTTTTTTTCGTGATCTGGTATTTTTTCTATCGGTAAACATCAATGCTATGAAAATTATGGGTCATTTGTTAATTTATTACAATTAATAATAATAATAATAATATGAAGAAAAAATAATTAATTCTATTAATTGCCATTTTAAAATGAATAGAAAATCATATTGAAAGTAACTGCTTAATTTCGTAATTTTCAGAATAGTCGACTGTTTTTTTTTTTTTTTTTTTTTTTTTTTTTTTTTCATGACAATCTTCACTATTAATGTCAATCTCTTTCTTTTCGAGCAAAAGTTTTATTCTTTCAAGATTTCCTATTTCAACTGCAATGCTGCCTTCTCTTCCATTTGATTGTTACCTGAGAGATGGAATGATTTTTCATTAATATCAATATCTTGCCTGGCTAACAATGATACGATTGCATAAATGGTTTGTTTCTCAATAGACATGTATAATGCTGTTTGCTCCAAAATCTCGATTTCATTGCCTATTATTGCTTTCACTGATCTGCAATTTATACCAATTTTGCCTGATATTTTGATAAATTCATTTGAAAGAAATAATTGAATAATTTCATTATTGTTATGGTCAATTGCGAATAGTGATGGAGACAATTCAATTATTTCTTTTTTCTTTTGAAATATTTCATATTTTTCTGATTTATATAATGCATTAATACTAATCTTTTCATTCGCTAACAAAAGCTTAACAATTTCTATATTGCCTTTTTCAACTGCAAAATATAATGCTGTCTTACAAATATATGTTACATTAAAATTTCATTGAAAGATATGATTGTGAATAATATTGAATGATATGATTTTGAATAGTATTGAAAGACATGATTTCGGATTTCATTGAAAGATATGATTTTGAATGTTATTGAAATATTTTTATTTGTCATAATTAAATTATTAAACTTTTTGAGAATAAAATCTCCATAAGTAGATTCTACTCTGCAGATGCCTTATTCTTCTGTTTATTCAATTTTCTCCCATTGAATTTGTAAATACTTCAATATCAGAAAAAAAACACTTGAAATTGAAGTTTATTGCCTTCAAAATTTTCTCCCATAAAAGTAATTGCGATCAATATTAATCGGGTTTATTTTTATATAACATAAAATTTGCGTTTTATTTACGGATTTTTTCAACTTTAGACAAAAATATCTAGCCAATTTTAACAACTTCTCCTATCTTAAACATCTCTTTGATTTGCTTATCGTCGAAATAGAATGAGCACCAGTTCTCGTGCCTTTTGAATGTGTTGCACATCACTGCTATCTGGCACATAAGCCTCCTCGTGCTGTGGCAACTCAGTCCGCGGTGGCAAGGAATGTGAATCTGCGTTCCCAGTGACATATCAACGCGAGCGACGAGATCTTGGCCAGGTATTATATCGACAATTGTTTCCCTTACGTTCTTCACTGTCTTATTCTTGTAGAAACTGCCGATAAATCTCACTCCGGGTCCACTTAATGCGACGGCTTGAATTCCGGTTGAAAGGGAGATAATTTTGGCGAGGCCACCACCGAGGGAATGTCCGACGATCATTATATCTTCATCTGGGTCGATATGGAAGCCTATTTCTGTTTTAGTTCTTTTTTTATTTGGTCGCATTTGTCTTCTCAAAAGTTCTTTCTTTCGACCAGATATCTTCTGAAAAATATTATTTTTTATTCTACTAAAAAAGTTCTTATTTTTATTGTTTTCATCAGTTTTTTCGGGTTCTTCATGAAAGTTAATGTGAATGTCATTTTCTATATTTGTTGTTTCGTTCCCATTGTTTCCGCCATAAAGATATTCGTAAATGTAATCAGTGAATCTGTTCTTGTACTGTTCAACAAGCGAAAACTGCTTGAACGCATAACGGGGGAGATTTGTAACAACTCCGATCAGCTCAATCGTCTTATCGCTGTAAATGCTGACAAATGGGAAAAATGATATTACAACATTGATGACAACTGAGGCAAACCAAATCTCAACGTCTGCAATCATGTCCTGCATGTTCGACGTGCCGCGGATCGCAAAAACTGACAATTTCGGGTTCTTTCGGAATCTTGTCAGCGTCATCGACGATTGAAATGACCTGTCCCACTTGAACGGAGTGTTCTCAAATATGATGTCCTTGCCGACTTCGCCCCGCTCGCTCAGAAACTCTTCAATCATCCACCGCTTCGAATAGCTGTAGTTCGCATGCGTAGGATTTGACAGGACTGTGAGAGCAGCGATCTCTTGAATGGACAGACCTTTGGGGCGCATGTAGCACACAGGCGAGAGAGGATAGCGGAACGTTTCTGAGTAAAAATCGTAACCGTCTGTGCTATCAGTACCGTTATAACCGTCTGTGCTATCGGTACCGTTATAACCGTCGGAGCTATCGGTACCGTTATAACCGTCGGATCTATCGGTACCGTTATAACCGTCGGAGCTATCGGTACCGTTATAACCGTCAGAGCTATCGGTACTATTGGTATTATCAGTGAATTTGTTTCGATAACTTTTATTTTTGTAACGGTTAAAATTGTGAGGATAACCGTCGTAACCGTCATGGTTTATTTCGCCTTTGTGAATTCTTTTTTCGTATTGTTCGAATAGCCAACTTTTTTCGTATGCACTGAAATTTCCTGACGTGTTTCCTTCTTCATTTGACGTTTTGATGGCGGTTGCGCCCGCCATTGGCACGAGGGCTGCAACGAAGACGAATGTCATGCACACGAGTATCATGCTTGACCACCTCAAGTACTTGTAGTGCTTGCCCCATGTTGTCGCTATTTCGTGCCACTGCAGAGCTTCCTGTCTCAGGACGTTATCTTTGATATCCTGGTCGATTCCTTCAATTTGAGAGTCAACGCTTTCCGTGTTATCCAAGCTGTTATCGTTATCGTTATCGTCATCGTCAGGCAAGTACTGGCTCTCTTTTCTGTTTCTTGTTTCAGCTCGCCCTTTTGACAAGTTGCTGTCTTGGTAGCGCTTGTATCTTTGGAGCCTCTTAAGTGCAACTTTCTTAATGTTCTCGCGCATCTCTTCAATCTTGCCTTCGGTGACTCTGTGTCCCCTGATTCTGTAGATCCAGAAGAAAGGAAAGTTGATCCTCGTTGCCAGGACAAATATCATCACAATTCCAATGAAAATTGTGATCAAGACTTGTCCAGCAGACATGTGTGTCTGAGCGCAGCACATGTACACAATAACTGCAATTGTGGCAAGAATTGAATAGGTCGTCTTTGAAAATATTAAACGTACAAGAAGACGACCGTTATGAGCAAGTTTAGACTTGTTTCCTTTTCTTTCAAAAAAGTCAATCCAAGGCCTCTCTCTTAGATAGAACGAGCACAAATATGGATTGTCAAATTCGCCAATTTCAAGAAACCGCCGACGTGGTTTATTGAAAAGTGACACAATTGAATGAATTAAATAAAAAATGTATAGCGAAAAATAACGTACTAATGGAACATAAAAAACAAAAATAATTATCCAGACATTTAAAAATGGAGGAGCTTTGTTGTTCATTAAATTGGCTATAAAACCACAGGTAAAGGTTAAAAATAAAACACCATGAACAAAGGTATGGATTTTGCCAATATTAATATATTTCGGAATGTCATCTACATTGAAAACTATCCGTATAAATAGACTGATAAGACGTTGGTGAGTGTAGAAAAATGTCTTCTTCCGATATAAATTACGTTCCATCGCTTCAACAATTGAAATGCTGATTATATTTGGAAAATATAACGAATAAAGTAAAAATGGAATAACAACTATAAAGAACCAAACTATATAATCTTTTAGGGTGACTAATGCCATGGTTATAAATAAAATTAATGTATTTAAAAATAAGCAAAAAACCATGGTAGGACCAGATATGTCCCATAGAGTCTGTAATAAACGACCAAAAAAGCCAAAAAAGCAGAAAAAGCTAAATACGTTGGTCCAAAAATGAAAGAAAAATGATTTGAATGAATGTTTGATATAAAATACATTTTTTCGATAATAAAAAACAAATTGATCTGATTGTTCGGTACATGCCCTATGTGTTAAATCACTTATTTCAGATAATTCTTGAATTTTAATTACATTTGCTACTTGATGAATAAATGAATAATTATGGTAATCTATCATTATCGATTTCCCTAAAAAAAGTCGGCGTAAAAGTTCGCATTTTTCACTTTGGCTAATGTTTGAATTAGAAATATTATAATAATTATATCCGTCTCTTTCAAAATCATACGTTTCTGATACATCATCAAGCGAAAATGAGTCCATAATATTTGTTAACGATTTTCCATCTTTAATGTTTTTGATTTTATAGTCTAAATCAGAGTCCGGTGAAGATATTAGAGTGAAATCATATGTAACGCCCTCAATGGTAATTTGGAAATGCTTTGGATCTCTGTTTTCGAAAAGTGAGTGATATGCGATAGTTGAAATTTGATAATCAAAAGGTCTAGAATAATATTCAATTGAGCATTCGAAGCTCATAATTCGATTAATTATAAATTT